GCCGGCAGAGGCATGTAAATTAGACTACCCGACATAGTCAATGAAGTGGGGATTTAAATATCCCCTGCTTCATTAAAATAAAAATGGCCGCCACGCTGTGCCAGCTCAGCTGATCGTCGGCACAACACGGCAGTGAGGACATAGATCGGTCGACAAGGAAAGCCTTTGCTGACCGATCCCTTATGCCTCATGAAATGAGGTTTACAGGATCGGTAGGCAAAGGCTTTCCTGGCCGACTGATCCACGTCTTCACTGCCTCGTTGCGCCGACAATCAGCTGAGCTGGCACAGCGCGGCGGCCATTTTTATTTTAATGAAGCGGGGAATATTTAAATCCCTGCTTCATTGACTATGTCGGCTAGTCTAATTTACATACCTCTGCCGGCAGAGGCATGTAGTCTAGACATACCCACAGTGAATCTAGGAACTCTACCCTTGGGTCCGCGTCACTCGTTTTGGATCCTCCACAACCTTAACTCTGCCCCTAGATTGCTGGTCCCAGAGCCCCATCCCACGATGTTCATTTGCTTTGACTCTGATGGGATGGAGGATGATTTTGTGCCACTCGAAGCTTTACAGAGAACCCTGGTATTCCCAGCTGGAGCACATGGAAACTTGGAGCTCTTCTCCAGGAGATGCCGACATTTCAAAATGTGAAAACGAGCTTTTTTTTTGAAACATGCCACTGGGTAAAATTAAAAAAAAAAAAAAAAACACGTCCGGCCAGCTGGCATGGTCCATTTGGAGAAAAGTGAAAAGTTTTTTTATTTGGACTTTAAAAAAAAAACATTCTGTGGATTAGAATAGATCTCTGAAAGATTTCTGAAAGGCCCTGGTAGAACAGGGACCACTGGTCTCTTCCTCTCCACAGTCACTGTGGGTATGTCTACGCTACCCTCCTAGTTCGAACTAGGAGGGTAATGTAGGCATACCGCACTTGCAAATGAAGCCCGGGAAATTCAAATCCCAGGCTTCATTTGCAAGTGCGGTATGCCTACATTACCCTCCTAGTTCGAACTAGGAGTGTAGTGTAGACATACCCTGTTTTATATTGCATTATGCTGGTCATTCACATCTACTGTCAAATCCAGTTAATCCCGAAATGACAAGCCAGGCAGACCCACAGCCCTACGGACCTTGTCAGAACCCGGCCTTTCCATCTTCTTAAATGAAAGGCTGTCGCAAGCCGGAGGAAAGTTCTGATCTCGGCGAGAGGCTGTTTTCCAAGACAGATGCTCAGTGGAAAATATTGTGTAGATTTATAGACGCCTAGAAGAAGGGATCAATCTTTCCAGACGACAGTACCCCTTACGGGGGTCTGATTTGTCTTGCGTCTCCCGGAGGTACTTAAAAAACATCTTGCTTACAAAATCGGACTTCAAAAAGACCAAAGGGCCGCTAGCGCTGAACAATCGCTGGCTTTCTCATTTTTGCCACATAATTGTAAAATAAATCAACTGAACTATAATATTGTACTTACCTTCTAGTGGCTGGTACACAGGGCTGTATAGATTAGTCATTGTCTGCATGCCCTGTTAGCTGGTACTGACTTTGCTAGTGGTTTTATATAGCCTGCTGTAAAATGAGGCCAATAGCTAGATGAGTGGATGTACCCCTGGAAGGCCTCTGTGTTCCTTTTGACCGGGGGCCACTTTACAAATTTTTGAGGTGGCCCTGGGCAGTCCTGGAAGGGGCGGGGCCTTGGGCAGAAGGGGCGGGGCCTTGGGCAGAAGGGGCGGGGCCAGGATACTTCTATGCTCCCCCGCCCACAGACCCTGATTGGCCGGGAGGTGGGGGAGTGCATGAAGTCTCCGCCCTCAGCCCCCGCCACCTCCCATGGCACCTAGAGAGAACAGTCAGCTGTTCTGAACAGCTGGTGGTTGATTCTAAGCACCTTGCGCCCTTTACAGAGTGGGACGAGACTTAGGAGACTTCGCATGCACTCTCCATCCTCAGGTCCTGATTGGCCTGGGAGCAGGGGAGCGGCAGGGTGGCCACAGGCCACATCAACCCGCTTGCTAGTCCAAATCCGGCCCGCCCCTGCCCTAGGGGTATGCGTAGCTGGATAACCTCATCTGCTTTGCAATATGTCTACACTGCACTCCTCCGTCGAGAGAGGGATGCAAATGCAGCCAAGTAAAATTGCAAATGAAGCGCGGATTTGAATTTCCCACGCTTCATTTGCATAATTGCGGCCGGCCGCTTTTTCAAAATACCTTATGTCGAGATACACGCCGTGTAGACGTGGTTATTTCGAGGAAAAACACGTATTTCAAAATAACCCTTACTCGTTGGTTTACGGGTTATTTCGAAAGAAGGGTTTTTTTCTCAAAACAACCGTGTCTACACGGCGTTTTTTATCTCGAAATAGGGTCTTTCGAAAAAGCGGCCGGCCGCGATTATGCAAATGAAGCGTGGGAAATTCAAATCCGCACGTCATTTGCAATTTCGTTTGTTCGCTTTTGCATCCCTCTCTTGAAAGAGGAAGTGTAGACATACCCCAAGAGTTCCAACAGCCGATCTTTTAGGAAACCATCCCAGACTGATTTCAAAGTTGTCAGCGCTGGCGAATCCGGCACGGCCCTTGGTAAATGGAGTGGGGCAGATTCCCCAGGGCCGGCCCTGTGTAAACCCGGCTGGGATGAATTTCTAACAGATCCGCTCCGGGGATTATTGTGGGGCAAGTCTCTGGGCTGGGTTATCCAGGTTAGAGGGTCGCAGTGCTCCTGTCTGGCTGTGGGAGCTATGAACAAAGCCTGCATTGGCCACTCCAACTTCTGCAGCAAGGGGAGGTGAGAGAAACCCGTGTCTGGGGCTTCGCCACGGGCACTGACATGAATGCAGCTGGCCCTATATGGTAACAAGCACCACTTTTTCATCCCCTTGCCCCAGTCTTCAAGTCAACGGAGGAAGTC